TATAACCTCATTCACAATTTCTGTTTAAGTTTCATTCTTTTCTCTGTAACTCCAGCTGCTAGAAATTTTACATCCAGCTTTCTTTAAGCAGATTTTTTTGAATGTGCAGAATACAACACGCTGAAACATACAGGTATGACCCAAACACCCCAGGTTTCCATGTTCACCCATCATCACTCCTCTTCTACATTCTTCTTCCTTAGGTTGGCTCTACATCTATACACCCTCTTCCACTAAACAGAATTAAATCTGTATTTTCACAGGTTTCTGTCTTGGACGATTAAAAAATCAGGGAATGGTAATCAGAGAACTGATATTACTTTAATATCCTAGCAGAACATGTTCTTCTGGTCTTTTCCAGTTTGCTAAGGCAGAAAACCTACCAGAAGCCAACAATAAAAAGGTCATCATAACCTGGGACAAGAAGGTGCGGCATTCTGGGGATATCCAGACTCAGTGGCCAAGGAACAGGGAGACCTGGATGATCCTTTTATGGGCCACACATTAGAAACCTCCCTGGCAGTGCCCATGCTGCAAGGAGATGAGCCAGGAGGCAGTTAGGAATGGGCTGGTTTCCATCCCCAGGGCTTTGGACCAAAAACCTCAGTATAAATTGAGAGGGGCCTGCAACTTTCAGAAATAGTTTACTAGAAGTTAAACATCTGTGACTTCTCATCTGCCTTAATTCTGTTTCAAAATTCATTCAACCCTTTCCTCTCACAGGACTCAACATTTGCCTGCAATTTTTCATCCGCCTCGCACAAACGTTTTGTGACCAGGCAGTTCTCATAGGTTTCTTTTCAATTATGGAAACAAAGCCCCTTCTTCTTCAGGTGTGGCTCCATTCAGCTCTGTAGTACTTAACCCAGCTAGAAATGATACAAAGTCAGCCTTCCATCACTCCTATCAGAGATTGTTCAAGATCCACATGGATAAAGCCCTGAGCAGTCTGATTTCACCTCCTGGTGTGCCCTGCTTTGAGCAGGAGGTCAGGCCAGAAGCCTCCAGAGTCCCGTGACAGCCACATTTATCCTGTGAACCCTGTGGCTTTCTGATCACTGATGCCTTTCATTAACCCACTCCATCCAAAGGACTGAAAAGACATTATCCATAATGTTTTGCAATTAAAACTTATTTCGGACATATTTCACTGGCATCTTTATTCCACCATAATCTCCACCCTCTATTGATGGTATTCCTTGGCCTTCCTTTTCCCTCTGGCAATCAGTGCTCCTTTAGAGCAATAAACCTACTGACTGCCTTTCCTTTTCCAAATCACTCTTCCACTGACACCAACAGAATAGAAATGTCAATCTAAACACTGACTTTTCAATGAAAACAGATTGGAGGTGAGACCATTCTCCACACATGTTCTTGGAGAGTGAATATTCCACAGCTCAGCAGCTCCTGGCAGTATTTTGGAGCTCTAGGGCACCCATTATGTGTGACAAGAAGAAGGCTGGCTAAAGATGGAGAAGCTGTAAGGTAACCACTGCAGCTGTACAGGGGCTGCTGTACCCCTCCCATTTCTATAAGAGCACTGCCTGTCCAGGCACCTCTTCTCTTGGCAGCCCCACTTTTCTAGGGCAAGATGACTTGAGTATCTAGGCTCACTGGCTACTGGGGGCCTTTTGGGGAGCATCTCATTAATCACTAGACCAAATGTCCCAGCGTTCTATCTTTGGCCACACATCCTTGCAGTGAAGAGTCTGCTGTTGCAGTCTCTATTTCTTTGTGGGCACAAAGAAACAGTGACCAAATAGCCAAATCCAACACAATTGCATCATTATCCAAATACCGTTCTTATTTCCATATTTCAGGAAACATTCTTCAAATCTAATCTTCTAATCCTTCTAATGCTTTCCAAGGGGAGCTGTGCAGCATTTGCCAGGGCTTGTTTAGACTGGAGATTAGGAAATATTCTTCTCTGAAAGCACTGTCAAGTTGCAATCAAGAAAGGTTGTCAAGCACTGGAACAGGCTGCCCAGAGAAGTGGTCACCACCCCTGGAGGTAGGTAAAAGTCGTGTGGATTTGGCATCTGGGGACATGGTTTTTTGGTGCTGGGTTGGCAGTGCTGGGTTAATGACTGGACTGGATGATATGAATGATCTTTTCCAACCTGAACAATTCTGTGATGTTATGATTCCATGATTCCATGACTACATTATAACACCAGGGCTGCAGCTGAGATCAGGAATTTGCTGTAGATGGTTGGGCCTACAGCAGAAATTATTTATCAAGTGATAACCTCTGCCCTGAAGATTTTGCACCTCAAAGTAAAAAACAACTTCAGAGAAACCAGCAAATTGTACATGATCTTGTATGTGATGGAAATTATCTTCGCTGACTGTTGCATGTTATTTACATAACACCAAAACTGCATGTGCAGCTGCTATTTTCCACTAGATCAGTGTTTTTCAAAAAGTTGTGAGATAGTAACAATTTTAATGCACAGCCATATATTTTTTTCATTCTTGCTTTTGCAGTAACAGTCATAAAATACCTTTTTTTTCCACGTAATAAGAGTCACTGCTTCAAAAAGACCAAAACACTGTGATTAGACAAGCCATGCTAAGCAACAGTGACATCAATTAACAGTACGTGGGAAATAACTTCCTTCTGAGGATTTCTGTATGCTAAATTAACTTGGACAAATAAATGAATTCATAATTCCAAAAAAAAATAAGGTTTGTTGCTATATACCCATTGCTCTTACCCTGCATTTTTTTATTTCAATTCTACATTTGTGGCAATTGAATTTAAATAATTCAATCTTTCTAACCCAACTTGTTCAGTTTCCATCCAAGAAAACTACTTATGAAATAGTCTAACACTTTCTCCATCAACCGAAGTCAGCAGTTAACTGAGACTAACACGAGTCTTGTTTTCTAACAGTGACACCTAGAGTCTCATCTGTAAAATTAAAACGCACTCCTTCACTTGCCCCATTTTAAAAGGCAACAAGCTTTTGTCCATACTTATTACTTTGAATTGACAGTTGGATATATTTAATACCAATTATTTTGCTGTGTTTTCGTGAAGACTGAGAGCAATACTTGTTGTTAGGTACTCTGCATATGGCGTATATCACTTACCACAACACTTTTGCATTAGGTAAAGTCCTTTATTTTGCAGATGTTGCATTTTGGCTTTCATCCAGGAGTGTTTAATCAGCTTGCAAATGCGATTTTCACTACTGTATGAAGGGATGCATCATTCCCAGAGGTACTTTCATTTTATAGAGGAGGCAACTAAGAATCCGCAGTGTCCCAAGCCATATGGAAAATGAGGGCTGAAATACACAAATCCTAAGCTTTTATGCCACAAAATAGCTTGATTTCCTTGTCAGATGAATGGAGACTGAGCCTCTCTGCAGCCTGACCTCAAACCCTGCAGTGGGAGGTCTGCTGGCTGCCCGTGCCCACTGCAGAGCTGACCCCAGAAATGCAGTGTGGCAGGGAAGGCGTCACTTGCCCTCTTTAAAGGTCATCTGTCTCTTCATGTCTTCACGTGTCACACACTCACTGGGTGTGCAAAATTTCCACAAGAGAAGTCTTTGGCAACCCGAATCACCTAAAAGCACTGCCCGTGGATCTTCCCAACTGAACGTGGCAGTGTTTCTGTTTGCAGGTGTCACTGGCTCCCCTCTCAGGCAGAGGAGCAGCATCCCTCCAACTCCCACAGACACAGGGCTCCCAGATCCCAGATACTGCTCCCTACCAGCACCAAGTACTAGACAGTTATGTCTGATGAAGGCTGGAGACACCATGCCCATGGTCAATTTTCTATTCCATACACCAGATTTTGGATAAAAAACACCGAAACTGAAAGCAAACTTGAATTTCAAAAACTAATGGGTGAGCTGTGTAAAAAAATCCATGAAAAGGGACATTGTGTTAATTAAAAATTAAATTACATACTCAGAAAAGGTCATGACATCAAATTTTCCACTGTCCCTCTAATTAACCATTTTATCTTCAACTGAAAAAAAAATGTATTTCTCATAGAAACTCCTTTATATTAGACATTTACCAGAAGAAGAACTAGCTCAGGTTCATCAGTGCCATCACACTAATGGTTTCAAATGCTCCTGACATAGTGCAACTATGTGATTTGAAGATTTGCAGAATCTCAGCCCCATGGAACATACATACAGATTGGGAATATGTTTATCACCTAGATATTTTCTCCAGGTAAATCTTTAAAAATGTGAGAAAACTAGAATTCCACCATCTTCATTCTGTACTATATGAAAGATATTTTGGAAACCACTGCCATCAACTTCCATAAACTTCTCACAAATCCTTTTGCAATCCCAGTGAAAGCAATCCATTTATTGTGTCTTCTGAGTGTCTGATCTCATGTAGATCATGTGACATCTAAATGTCATCCTGAGTCCAGAAAAAAACTTTTACATTAATTGTGTATTTTTATTAGGGATTAGTAATTACCTTAAATTAATAATAAATGCAAGCAGTATATAATTAGTTTTCTTATTTACACGTAGAATGGCATGTGTATACAGTTATATATCCACAACCACAACGTCTTAAAAGAAATACAGCTATGGGGTGGCATTTCCCAAAGTGATCCTCGCTGCTTTGAACTGTATTCACACACAGGGTGGCGAGATCATGCCCACAGCACTTGGGACCTTGTGTCTGATCCGCAGGGTGGCAGATTCCGTGCTCTGGAATTCCACCTTGGTGCGGCGCGCTTGGGGGCTGCCTGCGAGGCAGCAGGCAGGCAGGATGGGAAGCACAGCAGGGCACTCTAACAGCTTCAGAGGCACAGCAGGCAAAGCTGCTGTGCCAGGCTAACTGGGAAAGCTTATGAAAACCCCTCCTTACACCACTTGTGTTAGAGAGGGTCTCTTTCCTTGGGAGGGAGTTACTGCCAGACACATCTCTCATCCAGCTCTCAGCTCATTTTCAGGCCTTGTGGGTGTTGATCTGTTCTTCTCACAGAAGCAGAATGTTCTCTGTCACCTCCTCATTCTTCACAGGATGGTTTGTATGTAGGCCTGAATCCAGGGAAGGAGAATGTCCAGCTCATGGATGGCCTTGTAGATTCCCTGATCTCCAAGCTGTTGAGAAGATAAAGGCATTAGAAAAGAAACTAGCTACAGCCCTTGAACAGTGCAGTGGGGAGCCAGCACCTCCTGTTCTTACCTTAAGGAACATTCTCTTTAACTTTTTGACTGCAGAAGTTAACCTTGTGGATGGAGCACAGGGAAGCTGAAGGATGAAAAACCCAGAGATGGTGACATAGAGATGAAGAAGAGTCCAGCCCACAGTGTGGCACTGTAGGGCTGCCAGTAAAACGTGTGATCTCAGCAACATTTCAGTATCTTCCAAAACTTCAAATGTGTTCTTTCACCTGTGTGCCTCCTACCAAGCTGAGTTCACACCACCCAAAATTGGCACTATGAGTACCTCTAGGTTTTCTTATTAAACAATTTATCTCAGGAATCTTTACCTAAGTTGCAGTTACAGCTTTTGCACAGTGAATCCTAGCTCTTAAGATTCAAGATCCTTTAGCTTTGAGCCCTCAGAACCTCTGAAGCCTAGAGAAGGCAAGGCTCAGGGCCAAAGACCATTGCAAAGTACAGGGAGCAAGTCTGCACATTTCGGCAAGCCTTCCAAATGTGTTTATAAAGTTAATTTATGTTTCTCTGTTTCCCTGCCCATTTCTCCAGTGTCTGAATAATTACAGTCTGGAGGGCTTAGTCTCCTCACCACCTATCTCTGGCCACTCAGCACTGGCCACCCAAAGCTGTTCCAGCTGGATTTTTTAGAGTTGCCAGACGAAGCTTTCTGAGCAACATGGCTTGCTGATCCTCAGCTACCTGGATTGTCAAAAGGGAATATACATTCTTTCAGAGAAAAAAAAAAAAAAAAAAAAAAAAAAAAATTTACATGTTTGAAAGAAAAAAGACAAATGTCCTCATCTCAATGCATGGAAGGAAATAACTCCTCTGAAATGAGTAATCAGTCCTTTTCTATCTCGCATGCAGTACTTTAAAAAGGAGCACAGACATATTCAGGCTATCTTTTGTGCTTCCCAAAGTCACTTCACATGATGGAAGTGGGAAAAAGCAAAATTTTAAAAGAGTGAAAATAAAAGTAAATTTTTTAAAAATCTTCTAATTAGAGCAGTTCTTTCTAACTTAGAGTGCTTTCTTTTTTTTTAATGATCTCCATCTTGTATGATACAGATTTCCACAAAAGATCATTTGGTAGCAGAACTGACCTTATATGAATATGTCTGCTTTAGAGGTGGTATACATTACAAATTCTTCCTGCATATACTGCAAGTAACTAAATGAGCTACCCAGCAAGTTAGAGTATTAAAACATTAACTCAGCTTGAGGTCTACAAGCTCTGCCTGAAATGATAGAGGAATACTAAAGGTTCTGCAGGGAATATATTGTCCTTCTGCACTCCATTCAAATATGAGAAAAGCCCTCTGCATTGTGCTACTGATGTCGGAACACAAGTCTGACTTCAGAAGCAACTTCACACTCAACTCAACTTCACACTGTTCTCAGCAATGCTGATCAGCACCCAAACAAGTAATGAGGTCAGTGGTGCTGCAGGTGGATGCCCCAAGTATCCAAGGAAAAATGTCTGCTCCCTTTACCTTACAGACACAGGCTGAATGAAAAAGTCTGACTTTACCACAGAAAATCAGTTTAGAGATTTTCAAACATACTCATTTCTAAAAAACTAAATTTGGGCCCCTATATCATTGAAAAATATTAATGCTTCCTTGTTTGGGCAAAACCAAGAACTGGCAGGGTGAGAATAATAATATCATAGTATAAAGTCTTTGGAAGAGGTTGGGAGGCAAATATTGTTAGGATTTTCAGGTAGCACACATGTCTCTAGCTGGCTGAATTACAGCCCAAGTTTGTGAAAGAATATAAAGTGAATATGTCTATAAAGGCATCACTGTTTCCCTTAGTTATATAGAGAACTTTATTATTGAAAGGCAAAAAAATAATTACATTAATATGTTGTCATAATGGAAATTTTATTTTATAAACATCTTATAGCTCAACTAGATAATAACAACTAAAGAGCTTATGTACATGGTGAATGAGTGCTAATTTATTGAGGAATAATATGATGAAACAATCTCAAGTTTGTTATTAGCAAAGGATCCACTACTTTCACTCTATTCATAACTTTTGTTATTCTTTCACAAGGTTTGGTATTGCTGGTTTTGAATTAATACAAACATTTTAAAAAATATTAGTTTCCAGAAATGAGGCATCTCCTAGAAAATCACAACAAGACATCATTTCTCAAAGAGTTGTTGTTTTTCTGCTAACAGAGACAGTCTTATCTCTCTTACCAGCACTTTAAAAGACCCAAAAATGTAAGCTGTTATGTTTAGACTACTCTTGGGTAAAACACTGGCACTAATTATGAAAAAGAGTGCCGGAGCTCTGAGAAACCTGCAGCATTTTGTCTCCATATAGCACAGAAACAAATGTATTAGTAAGCTATCTAGCAAGCTACAGTCACTGGATATTCTGAATTCAGTCACAGTCAACAGTCTAAACTCCTCACTGTGTACTGGCATTTGTATAGAATGTAAGTAATCTCTATAAAGCATATTACACCATCTGAAATTATATTATTGCTCTCTGGAATTAAAGCATTATCTGGAATTTTGACAGACACAAATAGTCACAGCAGTATGATCAGAGCAGAATGCTATGAATAATGCCTGGAAATCACAACTGTTTAGCATTGTTTGAAATACAGAACCTGAAAGCTGATGAAGTTTTGTCCCATTAAGATTTCAATCTTTTTACATTATGCAAATATCCCAGCTGAGTTCTGAACTATAACTCTGCAAAGAGATCTCTGAAGCTGTTTGTTTTCACATTGCATATATTTTTGTGCATGTAGAACCACTGTTCTTTTCTTTCATGTTATTGAGGAATAACAATCCTTTCTTCATGCAGTTTAGATTAGACAAAGTTTCAATTAATTTAATTCATTAATTCATTGACTTTCCATCCTGCTCTCGCTTTTTAAAATCACAATACATGTTTGATTGGATATCCATGGCTATATTTCACTCTAGGTCAAGCTGCATTTTCTGGGACACTGTTATTTGTGAGGACTTCAGGTTTAGGGGAGAAAAAAAAAAATATCTATAGGATATTTAGTTTGAAGACATACCCAGTCGCTATTTGTTTACCCTTAAGAATTAGATGAGAAATGACCAAGTGATGGCATCATCTTAGCACCCTACCTGGTATGTTAAAATGTAGATTTGCACAGGCAAAAGTGTGCTCTGGCTGCTGCCCTGTTGTTACTTAAGCAGAGCTGGTAAAAGTGCCTCTTCTCTGGGGCACCTGGAGACATTTTGCCAGTGGGCAGCACCACTCTCTGACAACCTGCTCTGGCTGTGAGCACAGCTAATACATAGGAACTGCTCCCACATAATTGTGGACCCTGCTCACTCATGAGACACCACCAGTTCTTTCAAAACTCAGTATGGAGGAGCAGACATGACATGTGAGTAAAGATGACAGACCTGCAGAGGGTATATTGAAGAAGGAAAGCATTACCACTGTCACATCACAGAAACATGGGGGGGCCGCATTTCTCCCTGTGATCACCCTGTCTCTTTGCAGCTTTAGTGAAGAGATGGCAGCACAAGGTGACATCATCAGTAGGGAAGTGGCTTGGCCCCATGGGATCTCCACCACCTTGCACACTCCCCACAAGATCACTCTGGGAGGGAGTGGATGGTGTTAAACTTCCCTGGACCCAGTGGAGAAGCCCTCGTGAAGTTGGGTCCACTGTGGCATGGGACACACCAAGTCTCTGAATCACCCTCTGCCCCTCCATCTGCTGAAAAACTGAGATGGAGCCCTTTCCTAACTTTTCAGACGGACAAAGTTAGCTTAGCTCTCAGGGATATACTCACACAGGCATCCATGTTTGCTTGCAGAACCTGGAAGGCAGTAATAAAGTACAACTTGTCACTTCCTACCTCAAGACGACAGAAGACATTTTTCACATAGAAGGAGAGGAGCTGATCTCGAACACTGCAATTTGTCTGAAAACAAATCAAGTAATGATTTGGCAAATGAACACCTCAAAAGTCAGATTTGGCCTAAAATTTCAGCCTCATAAAAATACGCATATTTAGAAAGTGTGCAATCATTAAAACCATTTTTTATGAATTTTAGTATCCAATTGACTTGCTTCCTTTTGTTTTAAAGGAGGAGCTCAATCTGCCTCTGTGGTTTCTGAAGGAAAGGCAGGAGAGTGCTGTGCTGGCAGGCACAGGACTATTGGTAAGACCAATCATGAACAGATGTGACAGCAACAAATATACTTAACACACAAAGAGTAGATAGATAAGAAGATAAAAAGTCAGACCATCTTGGTCAAATTGTAGGAGTCATTGTGGGTATGATTTTTCCATTGCTCCACATCACTGTCTCATGCCACTTGATATGCTGTAGGGTATCCAGCCCATCCCCAAGTGCTGCTCCAGAAAAGACCAGTCATCCTGTCAACTCTGTGTCATATCTGTCTGACCTGTGTGTTCTCTTGGACACCTAAAGGTATTTCAAGGTATATATGGCTATTTTTAGGCAGTGGAATGAGGTGTTAGGTGTGAGATTCCTGTCAAGAGGGTGATGCAGCTGCAGATGACGCCACTCAAACGTGGGTATCTGTGTGTAGGTCTCACAGACAAGCGAGGAGCCTTCACTCCCAAGGTAATCTGTGAAATCCAAGGGACATCAAAGGCCAGCGGGTCTATACTTAAGGATAAACTAGCTCAGTTTGCCCTGCTGACTAGATATCTGCATGAAGAAAAGCCACACACTTACAGTCACTTAGAATTAGACACCCCACAGTTTGTTTCTCACTGCCATGCTGAATTGCACTGGGAACTCTGATATCCCTTTTCCAGTGCATCTGCAGAGGTCCAAGCTCAAAGCAGCTCCTTGGTGTCTCAGCTCTCTGCAGCATCCTTGGGCTATCCATGGTCCTGCACACCCTCAGCAGAATGTGCCTCAGCTATGGGACAGTGGCTGTGGCTCTGGCCCTTCTCTGAGGGCTGGTGCCTGAAAGCGTTCACAGCAGGAGCAAGTGCTACCACTCCTCCCTGACCAACGCCAGACACCCTCACCCCAATTTCCCTGGCAGAACATGCTGCCTACAAAGAAGTACCTCCAGGCAGGCTTTCCAAAACCACCTCTTCCTCCCCATACCATGATCAACCATCCCTTCATGTCCCAGGGGAATATCCCTTTCTTGGGACAGACATAACACTTTTTCTCTAAGACAAGAACTTCATTAAGTGTGTGGCTTTCATAAAAGTCTTTCCCAATCAAGCACAAGCAATTTTTGCATCAGCTGTCATTGCTTTTGGTCACATATTCCTGTTTCTATTGACCAAAGGAAAGTCAAAGTAAGAAAATTGAAAACTGGTAGTATAAATCTTACCATAAACAGCACTTTTGTAGTCTTTTTAAGCAGTCTCGTGGTCTTGATGAGATCCTTCTGTAAAATATAGTGGTAGTATTAATTAAGTCAAGCAGAGGGAGACAGTTTCAAGTCTGGTTTGTACAAAACTTAGTAACAATAATATTTATCTTCTTCTTCAGATGTAGGGCGAGGACTTAGTGAATCTGTATTCCAATCCTAGACTAGCTGCAAATTTCTTTCATGGAAAACTCATCTAGCCTCTCTAAGCATCTTCTATGCACAATTTTTTCCCACCTTTCAAAAGAAGTAGGTGCACTACCCTGTCTCTCAGGACTGCAGAGATCTTTCAACTTATTAAAGTTTCCAGAAGCTCAGTAATTCAACTAATAAAGAAACATCTAGAAAAAAAAAATAAACTTTTTCTATTAGTGGGATCAACTTACAGGAACAGATGATTTTAAGCTAGCTGCCTTGACATACAGGTTCTCTGTCATCTGGGAGAGGAGTCCTTTCCGGCAGGTATGTTTTCCTGTAGGTGACCTTTTGCCTTCCACAGCAAAAAGGCAAAGCAGAAATAAAAAATGCCCAGATCTGAAAATAGAACATCCTTTCATCTTCGCTCCCAAATCTTTGAGCCTCTACAGTCACAGCAGCATGTGTGATGCAGCCAGACTGGTTAGATGACAGAGGTTAACCTAATTTTGTTAACCCTCAAAGTAGCTTCTTCCCCGAGATGCTCACGTAGATAACCTATTGCTCATGTGGTGGCTGACTGGTATTTTTGCTGTGCTTTTTTATATATCTTGCTCCACTTTCAACAAATTTGACCACATTCATCTGTGACGTTTTTCTAAACGATATCTCCATATTTACTGGCAACAGGGTCAAGGTTTCCAAGAAAGAAGAACTTCCCTATCATATGAGAAGTCTTCTTCCACTTAAGTAGTGGTCAAGTGAGGAAAAGGTAGTTGAGCGTTAGTTTAGTTTCGCAACGAAGTATGGCAAATGCATTTTGGGTTTTTTTAATTTTTCCAAAAAACCTTATGGCAGCACTCTTCTGAAAGATAATGGCCCAGAAAGGAAAAAAAGGACTTTCCTAATTTACCCTGAAAGTATTAGAAAAACTGTTATCTATAAGGAAGCTGGACTGCATGGTGTATAAAATTTCCCTGTTCAGTTTTTTGAGAAGAGTATTTTTTCCAGGGTATAGCATCTAATAGCAAAGGTGTTTGCTGCCTATTTTAACTTCTATAGACTTTTTCCAGGGCAGAATTTGCCCCAGTAGGAGCAGTAGGCAGCTTAGTGTGGGAGAGAGGGCTCCAGGGAAGGCCCTGTGGAAGGACCAGGGCATCCTTGGCTACCAAGTCACTAAAAGCCCACCGAGAGTCACGGGCACTGGGAAATAATGTGCAAGACACATCCATCAGAGAGGTGGTAAAATTAAAACAGTAGAATCAGATGATCACTCTTCTACAAAGGTGGTCAGAGACTTCCAAGACAGCCAAACGCTGCAGGTTTCTCAGGTACCACTCCAGGCAGGCAAGAACATCACTCCAAGGATAGAGTTGGAAATCGTGAAGTAACACCAGCCATGTGAGGCTGTTCAGCCAAGGGTGGTTTTAAGTCAAATGTCAAGATCCTGGAACTGGCTGAGATTTGTGCAAGTAAGACGAAGAAAGCAGGCTTTGGTCTAGAATAAAATTTCCCTGAAACTATTTTTGTTGGATGCAAAAGCAAGCCCTTGAAATATTCACACATTTGCTTAATGTTTCAAAAGCAACATAAACCTTAAACAGACCAGAGAAAGTGGTTTAAGCTGCAACTGAAATGTCTCAAAATGACCATAATCTCTTAGATCCAGCAGCAGAGCTGTTTGTCCCTCTATGATGCCACCAGAATGCCTGTGCCCAGGACATGTGTCAGCTCTGAGAGGAAGAAAGGTGAGACAAGCTGGGTAATTAATTCACTCCAGCCTCAATCCCACTGACCATTTACACAGACAAGCATGCATACAGCCTGCAGGCCAAACAGGGTTCTTCAAGCATCCCACCTGCAACAGCTCTGGGAAATGGGAAATGCATTTTTCCACAGAACCTTCTACACATCACAGTAGCTTCACTGGCACGGAAGAGCTGATGGGGTCCAGGGACAAAAAGAACCAACTAAGGGAGGAGATCTTCAACTTTTGGAAAGTGGAGATGATGATGGCCTCAGGCTTTATTTGCATTTCAGTGCTCTTGTGAACTGTGGTCTGTATTTAAACACTCTAAATGCTGGTCAGGCTTGCTAGTGGAGGTGCACTGAACCTCAACACACATGACATGTGGATAGCAGATTAGCGTCTTATTGCTAGTTTGCTCCTAGAAGGGGACCTTGGGTGAAAGCAATACAGTCAGAATGCAAAACTGCCTTGGTCTGGTACTCTTTGGTCAACAGTTTTCCTCTAAATTGAATAAATGGGTCATACAGACACTCTGTAGTGGCTTTTCATAAGAAAGTCAATTATGTTTAACATTTCTGAATCTTCTAATGTTTTTGGAAAACCCTTGAGCCCACAAGTTTCATTTTGTCTCTTCTGTGAAGTTCTATCACCGTACTTACAGGGCTGTAAGTAACACCTTTACACTGGGCTCTAGACACTTCTGGATGTGAATCAGTAAATGTCTCACTGAATTGGCTAAATTTTCAACTGGGTGGTGTAAAAGGATGCAGATGGATGCAAGTGCAGGGTAGCCATACTTTAAAAAATAAATAAAAATAAATCAGGGCTTTCCTATCGCTCCTGTTATAAAGTGCTATCATTAATATGGCTACCATTTAATAACCAATCCTATAAAATTCAATTCCACTTCCACAATTTTTAATATGACATTTTGATTTCTAGTCAAAAATAGCCAATATTATTCAACTTTTTCATGTGCTACTTGTTCAGAACAAAGATAGTCTTTTCTTTCTGGGTCTTGTGTAGCACTTTGCACGCTGTATTTTAGTGCCACTTCAGCACTCAGACATAACTATGGTATAAGTAATATAGAATACCTAAGAACCAGTGTTACTCAGTATTTTAAAGTTATAAGAAGCAGAAGAAAAAACAAATTCAGGGACCATCCATTTTAACAATTAAGACAGAAAATACCTGAAAAGCTTGGTATGGGCAGTGGGACTGATGTATCCAGGGACAGGCTGACAACAACAGCAAAGCACACCACAAAGCATGTTGGTTTCCATGTGTAGGCTGGAAACCAGAGAAGTTCAAGCACCCTGCCCCAGAGGAAATGGGCTGTCTCTAATGGAAAATTTTAAATGTGTGGGGATTGAGAGACATGGACTCTGCTATACAAGCAAAGCTGTTTATTCACTAGTTCATCAGTATTTATAGGTCTCTAAGTTCCATACCAAATTTTCTACAGTCAGAATTCTCGGTTACCATTCTTTTGCCAGCAATGTCCTTGTTACATTCTTTCATCCCAGCAGTCAGAGTGACCAGGCGTGACAAAATCTTCACTTTTGTTCTTGCCTTCAGTTTATCTCTCGCATGGTTTCCACTGCTCCAAGGCCAGGAGGTCCTGGTGGCACTACCCAACTCAGCTTCTGCAGCTGTCTGATCTTCCACACACATGGACACTATCAGCAAATGCTTCAGGAAAAATACAATTCTGATGACACAAACGAAGTTCATGCGTTGCATCTATACAGAATGTGTAAAGCTTATGACCATGAGAATGAACAAGAAAGAATATAACTAAGAAAAACATGTAAGAAAAACTACCAGAGAAGTCAGCTTATTAGATAAGAAAATCTTTCCTGATTTACCCTGAGCTGGGAATAAGTTTCAAAGAAAGCTGTGTATGACCTATGCTCCATGTGAGTGCGTGAAAACAACAGCCTGAGGAAGATCCTTTCTTCTCTGCCTTATCATGAGCCACAGAAATGTCTTGATCTACATGAGCTTAGAAGGTATTAACATTAAGTTCTCTTGATCTGTGGAGAACAAACACGTACATCAACAACTGCTGCAAAGTTCTGTTAGTCCATTTAAGGTAACAATCATATGTACTAGTTGTTTTGCAGCTTAAATGGTTTTTTGATCTTCATCCACAAAATGCCTTGTCTAGTTTCTTACTCATGAATCTTCTCACTTTTCACAATTTCTGTTTATTTCATTTCCTGTTTGTATAACTAGAATTAAATGTCAAGTACTTCCTATGAACATTACTCATATTTGCTTAACTGCTACTAATGTTGTGCTTTCTCTTAAGACTTTTCTCTGCTGTCTCTTTTGGCTCCTTATCCTGCTTGATTCACTTTGGTCTTCTGAAAAAAAAAGAGGTCTGCATGAAGAGTTGCAGTACTTGCCCTCAGAAACATGATTTGATAAACAACAAAGAAGTTTAGAGAGATCTTACAAAAACTGAAGGTGACAACACTGCTGTTAGTGTTATTATTATCACATATTTAATTGTATTATCAATTAAAAAATTGAGACACCCTAGTACCTCTCTTGGAGAGAGTAGTTTAGAGAAGAGAAGCTCTTACATTCAGTACTGAGTCTGCAATTTTCTAAAAATGGTTGTAATAGGTAAGCCCTAAATACCCATCAGAGTTCAACAGCTTCTTGTGACCTTCTATTAGTATAATAGGAACCCTTGTAGCTGCTATAGATTTTGTACAAATACAGAACTATTATGAGTATTTTTCAGACAATGGTACCTAAATTACCTTAGATTAAACTCAGCACATAGGCACCCAGTGATCCACTACCAGTAGCCTCAGTAGCCATAAACATCAGGAGAACAAGAGAATAGCACAAACAGATGGTAGCAGTTTGCATGTTATACATACACTACTCTGGTTAGAAAAAATAAACCAACATAAAAGAAATAAGGACAGTGCAAAGAAAATTAAAATCACTGGATGTCAGTCTGGTGCTTTTCCCATCCTTACACACAGAATCCCTACATTTGTTCACCCACTTTTCATGGTGCCTGTCTGAACTGCCACTGCCAAAAAGCAACAAAGATTTAGGTCAGAAGTGATCTCTGGAAGTCATCTTGTCCAACCCTCCTTTTCAAGTTGCTTGCCTGGGACTGTCTAGTTAGATTTTGAATATCTCTGAAGATGAGACTTCACAACCTCTCTGGTCAACCTGTACAAATTTTTTGTCACAGTAGAAAATTGCCTCATATCCAGGTGGAATTTCAGGGATTTTAATTTGTTCCTGTTGCCTCTTGTCCTATCACTGGGCACCACTGAGAGAAGCCTGGCTCTCTTCTTTGCTTCCTCTTTTCAGGCATTTGTACACATTGGTGAGATCTCCTTGACTCTTCCACAAGCTGAACAGTCCCAACTCTCACTGCCTCTCCTCAGACAAAAGAAGCTCCTGTCAACTGTCTATGTGGTACTTCACCAGGCCCACAAATCAAATTCTCTCAGATGTTTTTCACTCTATGCCTTACACAAACCTCGTAAAAATTTTAAGGTATTAAGCAAAGCAGAAATCAGATTCACACCCAGATGAAGAAGAAAAACTATACCAAATCAACCCAAAACAAACAAAAAAAAAAATCCCAAACACAAATACATTTTCCCTGGGCATTTGCACTCCTTAGCACTT